CCTAACATCCATTTTGGCCTTTTCTTCCTTGCTATCTTTTTAATGATCTTTTGCTTTCTTCATATATGATCTCCTTGATGTCATCCCAAAACTTGTCTCATCTTCAGTCATTTGTGTTCAATGTGTCAAATCTATTCTTCAGATGGTCTCTAAATTTAGGTGGGATATACACAAGGTTGTATTTTGACTCTTGTGGACTTGTTTTAATTTTCTTCAGCTTCAACCTGAACTCGTATAGGAGTAACTGTTGGTCTGTTCCAAGTCAGCCTCTGGCCTTGTTGGTTGTTGATATTGAGCTTTTCCATTGTCTCTTTCTATAGATACAGTCAATTTGATTCCTATGTATCCTATCTGGTGAGGTCCACATGTATAGTTGCCATTGATGTTGTTGAAAAAGATATTTGCAATAAATGTCAGTCTTGCAAAATTCTATCACACGATCTCTGGAGTTATTTCTGTCACCACGGCCATATTTTCCAACTACCGATGTTTCTTCGTTTCCAACTTTCACATTCCAATCACTATCAGTAATTATCAATATACCTTGGTGGCATGTTTGGTGGATTGCAGAAGTTGGTAAAAAAAAAAAAAAAAACAACTTTGATTTCTTCATCTTTGGCTTTAGTGGTTGGTACATAAATTTGAATGGTAGAAGTATTAACTGGTCTTCCTTGTAGGTGTATGGATACCTGACAGCATTGTACTTCAGGGTAGATCTTGAAATGTTCTTTTTGAGGATGAATGTGACCCCATTCCGCTTCATTTTGTCATTCCCAGAAAGCAAACCAATGATTGGGTTGTTGTTGTTGTTGTTATGTGCCGTCAAGTCAGACCTGACTCATAGCGACCCCTCCTTGGGTTTCTGAGGCAGTATCACTATGGAAGTAGATTGCCTCATCTTCCTTCTGAGGAGTGGCTGGTGGGTTTGAACTGCCTGCTTTCTGGCTAGCAGTCAAGTGCCTTAGGCACTATGTTATCAGAGCTCCTAATGATTGGGTTGTTGTTGTTGTTATGTGCATAGTGACCCCTCCTTGGGTTTCTGAGGCAGTATCACTATGGAAGTAGATTGCATCATCTTCCTTCTGAGGAGTGGCTAGTGGGTTTGAACCGCCAGCCTTCTGATTAGCAGTCAAGTGCCTTAGGCATTACACTACCAGAGCTCCCAATGATTGGGTGTTGTTGTTGTTGTTGTTGTTATTTGCCATCGAGTCGGCCCGACTCATAGCGACCCCTCCTTGGGTTTCCGAGGCAGTATCACTACAGAAGTAGGATTGCCCAACCTTCCTTCCGAGGAGTGTTAGCAGTCAAGTGCCTCAGGCACTATGCTACCAGAGCTCCTAATGATTGGGTAGGACTATGCAAATAAATTTCTTGTAGCCCACCAATGAGATTGGACAATTTGCTACTAATGCAAAAAAGGTATATGGAACTTGTGATGGTTTAGCAATTGTGTAATAGTGTAATTGTCCTCCATTTTGTAGTGTGTTTTAAATCCTAGCCTCTATGCCTGTGCTTGGGCAATCTACTTCTGTAGTGATACTGCCTTGGAAACCCAAGGAGGGGTCACTATCGACGGCACATAACAACACAACAACAACATGCCTGTGGGTATGGTCCTAATTGGGAGTGCTTGATTCCGTATGTTTATGAGGCAGGACTCATGTGTTACATCTTAAGTTACCTCCTTTCTAGAGGGTATGACTCAAGTCACTACTCTTACCCCAATTACCACCCTTATTCAAGTCACACCATTGCACCGCCTTCTCAAGTAAGGGGTGTTTCCTTGAAGGTATGGTCTGCATCCAATAAATATGAATGGCCTGGCAAAGTTCTCTCTCTTGCTCTGGATTCTGCATCTGGTTCCTCATCATCTGACCTCTGGTTCTTGACCCAGCAGCCTATCATCTGGTCTGATATACCAGTTTCTGCAGCCTTGTGAGCCAGCAGCTTGTCATCTGACCTGCCGATTTGGGTTGATTGCTAACCAGAAAGCTGGCGGTTCAAACCCACCAGTCACTCCTTGGAAGGAAGGTTGGGCAATCTACTTCTGTAGTGATACTGCCTCAGAAACCCGAGGAGAGGTAGCTATGAGCCAGGCTGACTTGACAGCACATGACTACAACAACAAAACCGCATAAGTCAAGAGAAACCTCAAGCTTGATGCCTGGCCCATGGATTTGGGACTTGTCAGCTTCCACAACCACATGAACCATTATCTTGACAGTCTGTGAGTTTTGTGAGAGATTGCAGCAAATTAAGAACCCAAAGATAGAAAGGACAGTACTGAGAGGTGGAGGAGTATATGATGTTAGAGATGATGGAGTGGTATAGCAGTCTGGAAAAGTTGGACATTTGTCACATCTTTAACCTCTTCCTCATAGGAATTAGCTTTGGGCTGATCCTTAGAAAACAGATTATTCATTTACCACATTAGTATAAATACATGGGAAGGTGCATAAGGAGGGGGTCTGGAAGGATGGCCAACTGCGATGTTAACTCTATGGTCGTTATCTTTTAAAATTTTTGTTTTACAGTTTGTTTTTCTTTTTAATAAACATGAGTACCTATTTTTATCTTCTTGGGGAAAAAAAAGCTATTTTGGTACAGAGAAGAGAATATAGAGGTAATTCACATCTAAGAGGGAGAAAATATCCCCAAGTTGTGGGTGATTGGTCTTTTTTCTAAGGCTAAATGATACCATTCATTTAGTTACTCAGTGTGCTGGAATAATTAAAACACTAGGAGATGAACAGAAATATTTGCTCCTGGGAACCTTGTGTAAAAATAGAACACAATCTAAGGAGGCCATTAATCCTCATTTTGGGTATGTTTATGACAATTCAGAAGCTAGGTCTCCCCTCTTGGGAGTCCCCAGTGGATGTCTGAGGCTGGGGGACAGGCTGACCCAGGGTCATCCTGCCTGGGGCCGGTTCTGCTGGGTTAAGTAGAAAGGATCAGCCAGGGCTGGAGAAATTCAAGCTGGGTTGGGAAGATCCAGCAGCCTGGGAGAAAGGAAGGGAGGGGAGGGAAGGGTGCCCACAGAGGCATGGGGACACCCAAGTCACTTTCACTGGACTGGATCGGATCCCCCAGCACGGCCAGACCTTATATAGAAACCCAGCTGTCGATCCAGCTCAGTGCGCCAAGGACAAGAAGAGAGGTCATGGCTGGGGGCAGCCGGGACATCTGCCCCGGCCGCAGGGCCAGCCCCGGCCTGCACCCTCTCCTCAACCTGCGCCCCCGGCTCCTGTGCGTGCAGGTCATCCCCGCCAGGACCCCCGACCCCTCCCCAATCCTCAGCACCTGTGCCCGGTTTTTTCGAACAATCTGGTTCCTTCCCTTCCCTCCGGCCTGCCACTGCTCCCCCTCCCCCAGCCCCTACGGCGCGGGGGCGGGGGTAATTCTCCCTAGCCCCTCAAAGTCTTCTCCAGCCTGCGCCCGAAGGGTGCACCTATGATGCCAGCGTTGCCTACTCCCCCGAAAAAGTCCCTGGGTCTCCCCACCCTCATCCTCCGCGGGACCCCTGGGTTGGCCCCCTCCATCGCCACCCCTTAGGTTTCCTCTACTCTGGCTACCTGGGTAACCCCCCCAGGTCCCAGGTCTCCCCCTCCCCCAGTCCGAGGGGGAGCACCTCACGACGCCAGCACCACCTCCTCCCCCGAACCAGACCCTGGGTCTGTCCCCCACCCCCCCCGAGACCCCGGCTATCCCTCATCCCCGCCCCCCAAGCCCGACTCACCTGGCTCATACTTGAGGTAGAGGATGGAGACAATGAAGTAGCTGAGGTCAAAGACTGGGAAGAGCGGCACCCGCGAGAAGCTGAGCGCCAGCTCACCAAGGCTCAGTGCCGACAGCAGATCCATGGCGCCTGCCCGCCGGGTCCCCCGGCCCCCGGCCCAGCGGTGCCGCCCGCAACTGCGCCCCCGCGCAAGGCCCGCCCAGCCGCCAGGCACCGCCCCGGCCCGGCCCCCGAGAGGAGGGGCGACGGACGGCCGCGAAGCCCAAGTCCTTTGAGCCCAGCGAAGCAAGCTGCGAACCACCGGAGTCGGGTGATCGGAGGGGACGACTGTCCATTCAGGCGGCCTGTCCCCCATGGAGTCTGTTTACCCAGTCTGGACTCCTGTCCCCGTGGTCTCGGTTAGGACACCTGTCTGGTATAGGACCCAACCGATTTGGACCCCCGCCCCAACAGTCTCATTTAGGACCTCCGTTCCCTGTGAGTCCCGCTTTGTGGGACCTGTTCTGCCTGGAACACGATCCTCTGTGGAGCCCGATCAGTCAGGACTACAGTCCCCATGAGGTGTTAGGTCAGGATGTCCACACTATTTGGAGCTCATTTGGGACCCCTGGGCTCTGTGGAACTGCACAAGTCGGGATCGTCGCCCCCCGATGAATCCTCTTGGTCGAGACGCACGTCCCCTCCCATCCGCTCTAGGACTTGCTCGGTCGAGACCCCAGTTTCCCGTGGGGTCCACTCGGTTGGGACCCCTGCCCCTGTGGAAACCCGCTTGATGGGTGCTCCCGGCCTCCATGGGGCTCGCACTGTGAGGGACTCCTCCTTTTAGAGTACAGTTAGTCGGGGCGGACCTTCGGTCCCTGTGCAGCTTCGCGACTGGGTATTTACTTTCTACAGAAGCCCAATACGGGGTTCCAGCCACAGAGAGAGGACGAGCCACCGCTTCGCTCTTTCTTCGCCCGTGAGACCCTCACGCATGCGCGGCTCACTTCTAACGCGAGGACCAACCCTGCTCCCAGGTGGCTCCGCCCTTAGGTGACGCCACAAGCTTCTACGCCCTCCACCCTGACGCACTCCTACGGAGAAGGACCTCGTTTTCGCCAAAGGGGGCCTGGCCTGCAGGAGGCGGAACCCAGCCTATCTCGGCCTTCGATTGGCCCAGCCTTCTCCAGCTTTGCTCCGTGATTGGTCAGGTCCTGCCTCTCCATCTCTTCCCTCCCTCAGGCTTCCGCTTCCGGTTCTGACGGAGGCTTCGGTTGTAACGATGATCGGTGACATCCTGCTGTTCGGGTAATTGGGGGACCCAGGGGCTAGGGAGAGAGAACCAGATGGGGATGAGAAAGGCTCCGGTAACCGCATTCCTCTTCTGCAGAACACTGCTGATGAACGCTGGGGCGGTGCTCAACTTTAAGCTGTGAGTAGGCCGCGTCCGGCCGAAGCCCCACCCGGGGGACCCGTAGCCCCTCCCCCGCGTGCCTTTCCCCGCCCCACGTCGCAACCCCGCCCACAACGCAGCCTCACTCCAGGCACGCCTGTCTCCCTCCAGTGACCCGGCGGCTCTAGGATTCCAAATTCAGACTGTTTCCCAGAGAGCCTCAGACTTTACCCCGACGGGGCCCCCCTCAGTTCTACCCAGAAAACTCTTAGGCCTACCTCGTATCCTCTGTCTACCACCCTGTTGGCTGATTGGCGGGGTAGGTAGTAGTCGCCGAGACTACTAATACAGCTAGTTAGCGGCAGGGTAGGGCTGCAGCTGTGTCCCAGGGGCCCTCTGAGCTCGGTGTCAGGGCCAGGGAACCGAGCGACCATTATTTCCCTTATATAAAAATTGGACACTGTTTGCTCCTCTTTGTAGGAAAAAGAAGGACAGCACGCAGGGCTTTGGGGAGGAGTCGCGGGAGCCCAGCACAGGTAAAAAACCTCCCTTCTGGCCCTGGTACAATTCAGGACGGCTCGCTCTCTCCAAGTCCAACCCCAGTTTGCTTTGCTTTTTAATGGAATGTGTGTGTGTGTAAGGAGCTCTGGTGGCGCATTGGTTAAGGCATTCAGCTGCTAAGCTAAAGCTCTGAGGTTTGAACCCACTAGCCACTCCGTGGGAGAGAGATGAGGCAATCTGCTTCCATAAAGATTTACAGCCTTGGAAACCCGATAGGGCAGTTCTGCTCTATCTTGTAGGGTCTCTAGGAGTTGGAATCAACTTGATGGCAGTGGGTTTTGGGGTGTGTATGTGGGGTACTGCGTGGCACAAATGGTTTGCACTTGACCATGAATCTAAAAGTTGGTGGTTCAAATCCACCCAAAAGCATGGCAGAAGAAAGGCCATAGATTACAGCCAAGAAAATTGTTGGGAGCGCAGTTATATTCAGTAACACTTGGAGTCACCATCAGTCACAGTTGACTTGATGACATCAGGAAGTGAGGCAGAAGACAGAGCTAACACCAGGGGGAGTTTGAGAGAGAGAGGCAGACTGGAGGGATATTTTGGAGGAGATTAGATAGTCCAGGAGGCAGTGGTTCAGTGGTATAACTGGCCTTTCATGCGGGAAACCTGGCCAATGGACCTGTCTTATCTGAAGACTTGCATGTTGCTTTGATGCTGAACAGTTTCAGTGGAACTTCCAGACCAAAACGGATTAGGAAGAAAGGTCTGGGGATCTACTTCTGACAGTCAGCCAGTGAAGACCCTGTGGATCCCAATGGTTTCATTCACGACCTTTCATGGGGATGGTGCAGTGCCGGGGCAGTCAGCCATGAGTGGGGGCTAATTTCATGGCAACAAGTTTGGTTTTTGATTTTGTGTTAAGTGTGTTAGACCTGAGAACGTGCTGTTTTTTCTGCCTACTTCTTTCCCTCTTTCTCCTGCCAAACTTCGATAAGTCAGCAATTTCATCACTTCCTACAGTTGTAATTTCTTACTTGGATGCAGTAATTTGGCTAAAGTCCACCCTCACATTTAACTGCAAACCCAGAGAACAGGACTGACACTATCTGAGGCTTCCAGTCCTGGCCCTCTGACACATAGGAATGAACGATTGAATGAATGAATAAACAGCCTCACAAGCAGTTACTGCTTTTGGTGTGATTAATGGCTGGATTTATACCTGTTTTTTGGCCTGTGGAGTGTCATTTTAATTTTTTTTACCTGTACCCACTGCTGTTAAGCTGATTCTGACTCAGTGACCTATGTGTTCAGAGTAGAACAACCCGTAGTGGTTTATTAGCTGTAATCTTTATGGAAGCAGATTGTCAGGCCTCTGCAGTGCCTCGGGGGTGGGAGGTTTCAAACGTTTTGTTTAGTAGATCAATGCTAACCATTTCCCATCCGTTAAATGTACATTAGTAGACTTTACATAAATTGTGACCCTCACCCTAATTTAAAATCAGATGTCTCATTTTTCTTGAAAGATCTGACCATCCTGCAGCTCATGGTTCAGGTGACCTCTTGGCAGCTGTTGGCTGACATTGAGAAACCCAACCCCCTTCCAGCAGGGCCAGGACTCTCTGCCTTCCCTCAGCCCCCACCCCCTCAGACTCATACATCTCACTGCCTGGTCCTTGGAGGAATTTGTACCACCTATTGAATGGATTCCCTTGACTCTTTGGAGTCTAATGGGATCTGTTCATGACTGTTGTGTCTATATTCATTTATCAAACACTTACTGAGAACATTCTATGTGCCGGCCACTAAGCAGGGTGCTAGGGACGCAGCAGGAAACAAAATGGATGTCCTGGCCTTTTAGGACTCATCATGGGTGTGTGTGTGCACAAATAGTTATTAGAGCAGGGACAGTGAAGGAGGTGGTGCCAGGTGGGGTAAGAGCTGACAAGGGGTTAACAGGATGGCAAGGGGGTGCCACTCCAACTGGGGCGTGCCAAGGGAAGGCCCCTCCCTCTGAGCAAGTGGCGTTGTCACCCAGGTGTCTATGCCGAGATGGAGCTTTGCACAAGGCTAGACCCTGAGGGAACCCTCAGTCTCCTGGGACCCTACCTGGCAGGGGCTGCTATGTTAAATGCTTTCTCTGGTGTTTCATCCAGTCTTCTGGACTTGAAAGGTAAAGATGTCTTCCCATGTGACAGATGAGAAAATTGAGAGTTGGAGGTGTAGCTCCACATGCTCACAGACACACAGCAAACCAGTAACAGGGTTCCAACCTGGGTCTTCCTGGCCCAGGTGATTGTACTATCAACCACTAGACTGACAGACCAGCCATTCATTCATCCATCCATTCATTCACCAGCTAGGCATTATTGTTAGCTGCCATTGAGTTGACCCCAGCTCATGGTCATCCCATGTGCAACAGAATGAAATGTTTCCTGGTCCTGCACCATCCCCGTCATCAGTTTGCATCAGACCGTTGTGATTTATCAGGTTTTCATTGGCTGATGTTTGGAAGTAGAGCACCAGGCCTTTCTTCCTCATCTACCTGACGCTCTGCTGAAAACGATTTGGCATCACAGCAACACAAGTTGCTATGTATTGCCTACTCACCATGTTGTGGAAGACTCTCTTCCAGGCCACAGAACTGCATCCTCCAGGTCTGAGTTAGAGCTGTGGTGGGTGAGAGATTGGGTATAAAGGCTTGGAAACTGGGAGCCCATTCAGTGGCGGGTGGCCAGAATGGGGGCTGTGCCTGACCTAGGGCTTCTCAGGTCCGGGGTTGGCCTTTTCTCAGCACACTGTGTTCTCTTGCAAAGTACCTTCTGGTTGTCTGGTCAGGGGAGTGCTGCTTCTCCTTCCCCTATGTTCTCAGCCCAGCTGACCCTTCCTGCAATAACAGCTGTGAGTGTGGAGCGTCCCTGTGTATGGGTACTGTGCTGAGGTCTTCTGAGCAGCTAATCACCTCCACTTACACAGAAGAAAACTGAGGCATGCTGTGGTAATTAAGGTTATGTGTCAACTTGGCTGGGCCTGGTTTTGAGTGGTTGGGCATCTGGATGTAGTTACTCCCCCATGATAAGACTAGTAATCAACTCCATGGTGGAATCTGCAGTGAACAGCTGACTAGCTGCCTTAAGAATGTCATCTATTTCCAGTACATAAGGAATCTATGAGATAGGTCCCAGCTGCTTTTGGCATGCTTGAATCCTGCAGGTAGCTGAGTCGTCGTTCAACAGCCTGCCATGTTTGCCGATCTTGGGACTGTTAATGGACTTGAATTAGTGGCCTGCCATGTGATTTGATAATCTTGGGACTGTGCCATTTTACTTGTCTACCTTTGGTTTGTCAGCCACAGCGGTCACGCTGAGCATTCAGCAGCTGCTTGAGTGAAGAGCTGCTTCCCAGCTCCAGTGGGCTGGGAGCAAGAGGCAGAGCTGAAGCCCAAGGTCAAGGGTCTTTCACCCTGTCCCTAGAGCTGGCACTTTGAACTCGGACTTTAGCCTCCTAAACTGTAAGAATAAGCTTCTGTTGGTTAAAGCTGCCCATTTGTGGTATTTTTGTTAGAGCAGCACAAGAGGTAACTAAAATGCATGCAGATGCCAAGGGTTGGCTCAGGGCCCCTGCACAAAAGGGCAGAGCTGGACTTTGAGCCCACGCTTTATGGTCTAGCTTGTGAGGTCCTTGGAGAGGCTTTCTTTGGCCTTGACCCCCAACACACACCCTCAACTGGATCCCCCATTGTCTGCTCGTGGGGCACCGGGAACTTTTCTACCATGGCAGGCATTCTGGCAAATAACAACACGTGTGGTTGGTTATCTAGTATTTGTTATTCCTGTGAGCTCCTGGAGGGCAGGGCATCTGTCTATTCCACCCCTGTATTTCCGGCACCTGGCTGCCGCCTGGGACTGGAGACCTCAGTTGGCATCTGGTGGTGGCAGGGAAGCCCATTCACCAACCCTGGGCCTGAGGAAGGAGTTACTGAGTGGTGCGAACAGTTAATGTACTTGCTGCTAACCAGAAGGTTAGAGGTTTGAGTCTGTGCAGAGGCATCTCAGAAGAAAGGCCGGGCAAGTAACTTCTGAAAAATCAGCCTTTAAAAATATTAAAGAATCCAGTTCTATTCTGATATGCAAGGGGTGAGTCAGAACCATATCATTGGCAATTTATGTATCTATTTACATCTCACAAAAGATTATCTCAGTTTTATTTAATAATTTAAAAATGTGACAACTGTTCTTGCCTCACAGGCTATACAAAATCAGGCAGTGGACCATCTTTGGTCCATCAGCTGTGGTTTGCCAATTCCTGCTGAGAGAACTGGGCTTATATGCTCCTGGTTCAGTAAACCTGACAGAAAGCAAATGCCTCTTGCTTAGTTGTTGGGGCAAAAAATCCCAAAGCTGGCTATCATTGGATAGGCTTGGGTCACATGTCCTCCTTGAGCCAGTCAGGGACTGGGGCTTTGGTGCTCTGGGAAGGAGGTGTCAGTGGCAGCCAAGACCTATGTGCTGAGGGTGGGGATGTGGTGGAGGCCCAGAGGGAAAGCAGGGCTGTCACTGGAAGCTGGGGCAGTGGGCACCAGGTGGGCAAAAACTTAGTAGGCTGACTGGCCATTACAGCAGAAATGCCAGCCACGTTGTAAAAGTGTCTTCACTTTCCAGGTGATAATGTGCGGGAGTTCTTACTGAGCCTCAGATACTTCCGGATCTTCATTGCCCTGTGGAATGTTTTCATGATGTTCTGTATGATCGTGTAAGTCTAATGTTTACTTCAGTGTTCTTCTGCAGAGTGACCTACTGCCACAGTCGTTTTCTGTCCTTGTGATACACACTTTGTGTCACACTTTTTCTTTTCAAAGTATGGCTCTCTTAGTGAGGAGACCAGGGACCTGCAGGGGTTAAACCACATTGCCATGGTCCTGTGGGCCAAACCAGAGCTCCATCTGGGACAGGGTGTTCTCTGAGGCCCGCCTGTGTCAGGTGGCTTGTCAGATGCTGGCCAGAGACACTTTCCCCTAGCCTGTGACCCAGTGCCTCACACCAACATGAGACACGTGGGTTACATGGCCAGCATGCTGTGACGTCCTGCTTCAGCCCCACCGAAAACCAGCAGAAATGAATTTAGACTTTATTTTTATTCCCGTGCCTGTTTTCATTAGGCTAACAATAAGCCCCACTAGATAGGTTTGGGCATTATGGTGGTTCAGGGGTAAAATTTTCGCCTTCCATCTGGGAGATCCAGGTTCAATTCTAGCCACCGTACCTGTGTGCAGCCACCACCCATCTCTCCATGGAGAACTGCATATTGCTCTGGTACCGAACAGGTTTTAGTAGAGCTTCTCAACTAAGATGGACTAGGAAGAAAGACCTGGTGATTGGCTTCTGAAAATCAGCCCCTGAAAACCCTGTGGATCACACAGTTTGATCCACAGCTGATCATGGGGATGGCACAAGACCAGGCAGCATTTGTCCCACTGTGTGTGGGGTCACTGTGACTGAGAGTGAACTCAACAGCTGGTGTTTTACTGGGGCGTGAGGGAAAGTCCTCAAGCAAGGCTTCTGTTACGGCGATGGTAACTTGCTTTCCCAGGATATTGAAAAACTAGAAACCACCTAAATTTCCAGGAATAGGGGAGGGGCCAGGTAACTTCAAGGACACCTGTGACCAGCTGTCATGACACCATGACTGATGATGTTCCAGAAAATTCTGTCTGCAGGGTGAAATGTTTTCAAAGTGAAAATGGATGGTGACTCCTGTATGTGCGGCCTGAGCTCAGATGGGGATTGTTTTCAGTAAGCATAGAATGATGTTGAATGAGGGTCTGAACAATGTGAGGGCAACACTACTCATTAAAGGTGTCAGAAGTATCTGCTCCAGATGGACCATGGAAGTGACTATCCTGTGATTCCCAAGGAAGCTGGTAGGGCCTGGGGAATGTTTCACTTTTCCCTGCATCCACTTGTGTACTACTTGACTTCAGCTATGTGGGAATTTATGAGCTGCTCTTAAGTCAGCTCTTGACGCATGGTGACCCTCTGCACAATGGAACAAAATGCTGCCTGGGCCTGCACCATCCCCAGATCAGTTGTGGATCGGACCGTTGATCATAGCAGTTTCATGGGCTAATTTTTGGAAGTAGGGCTTGCTTCCTAGTCCGTCTTAGTCTGGAAGTTCCCCTGAAACCTGTTCACCATCATATCAACATGGCGCTGGCTGTGCTTGAGGTGCATTGGCTGTGAGTTGAGTCCACATCTTCTGCATGGAAAGGGAGCATTTTGGAAATTTGAAATTCCTGAAAAACTTTAAAATAAAATACAGGAAGAAATATGTAGGAGTGTTTAGAGGTTAAGTGTACTAATGTCTGCAGCTTACTTTGAAACACATCAAAAACAAGGTGAAGGATGGGTGAATGGATTGACAAAGTGTTAGTTGCAGAACCTAGGTGGTATGTATGTGGGTGTTCACCACATTCTTAACTCTTCTGTTTGTTGAACTTTTCATAATAAACTATTGGGGGTGGGGAAGTAGGAAGCAAATGAGCATTTCAAACCATGAAGGATTTACAAGTAAAAAGTACAAGTCTGTCTTTACAATTCAATATGTTTTAGTATATAATCTAATTCTAGAACATTCTCAACACCCCACACAGAAGCCCTATACCTATTAGCAATCATTTCCCATTCCCCTTTCATCCATTTCTAGCAAATCACTATTCTGTTTTCTGTCTCTGAGGATTTGCCTCTTTTAGATATTTCATGTAAATGGAATCGCACAATAAGCGTTCTTCTCTATCTGGCTTATTTCACCCAACATAATGCTTGAAAATTCATCCATGTTGTAGCATGTGTCAAGACTTCATTTCTTTTTATATCTGAATAATACTCCACTGTATAGAGGGCCACATTTTGTTTATCCATTTATCTGCTGATGGACATTGGGATGTTTCCATTTTTGGCCATTATGAGTAGTGCTACCATGAACATTTGAGTACCCATTTTCATGTGGATGTATATTTTTCATTCCTCTTGGGTATGTTCTTAGGAGTGATATTGCTTAGTCATGGTAATTCTGTGCTTAATTTTTTGAGGGATTGCCAGACTTTTCTGAAGAGACTGCATTTTACATCACCATGAGCAATGTAGAAGGGTTCCAACTTCTTGACATCCTCACCAACATTTGTTATTGTCCATTTGTTTTGTTATAACCATCTTAGTAGGTGTGAGATAGTATCTCATTGTGACTGATTTGTGTCTTCTTAATGACTAATTAGCTCTGGTGGCGCAGTGGTTAATGCATTCGGCATTAACCAAAAAGTCAATAGTTCGAACCTACCAGCTGCTCCACAGGAGAAGGATAAGGTAGTCAGCTTTCTGTAAAGATTATAGCCTTAGCCATATGGGGCATTTACATGGGGCCATATGGGGCACTTCTACTCTGTCCTGTAGGGTTGTTATGAGTCAGAATCAGCTGAATGGCAGTGGATTGGTTTTTGGTTTAATGACTTACGATGTTGAGCATCTTTTGATACGCTTGTTGGCTGCTGCTTTGGAGAATTATCTATTCAAGTCCTTTGCCTCCCCCCCCCCCATTGAGTTATTCTCATTTTTAAGTCCAGATCTCTTTATATATTCTGGATACCAATTTATTATAAAATACATGACTTGCAAATATTTTCTCCCATTCTGTGAGTTGTCTTTTTACTTTCTTGCTGGTGTCCTTTGATGTATACAAGTTTTTAATTTTGATGAAGTCTCATAGATCTTTTTTTTTTTTTTTATTTGTCACTTGTGCTTTTGGTGTCATATTTAAGAAACCATTTTGAAATCCAAGGTCATAAAGACTTGCTCCTTATGGTTTCTTCTAAGTTTTATTGTTTTGCCTCTTACAGCTAGGTCTTTGATCGACTTTGAGTTAATTTTTATATATGGTTTGAGGTAGCGATTCATGTTCATTCTTTTGCATGTGGAGATCCAGCTGTCCCAGCACCATTTGTTGTCATTTTGGAAATAAGCCTTTTATTTTCAAATGATTTTAGATTTGTAGAAAAGTGGCAGAGATAGTACAGAGTTCAGGATTTTGTTTTTAATGGAAATCCAGTTTTGCACCATGGGGCGCAGTCATAACTTACATACCCATTCCTTGACCTGATAGACATTTGTACCATTTTCAAGTTTTGTTCTTCCAGGTTTTTTCAGTGAAAAGCTTGTCTTCTAAAAATATATATATATATATAATTTATTCAAAGTTATTTTTTATTTATAGAGTCACCACTGAGTTGAGGCAATAGAAAATGGACACAAATTGCATAGATGCATATGAATTGTATACTTTATTTTTTTGGAGTTACTTTTAAAAATCAGGAAATAAGATAAAGTAATCTAAGTAATAGTAACATAAAATAATATTTGGAAATGTTCTTAGAGCAGTGACTTCCCGACTTCACAGAACTTTCTGCCTTCTGACCCCAGGCTGTTTGGCTCTTGAGCCCCTGACACAGACCCAGAAGCACACCTTCCCAGATGTCAACTCTGCGCTCCTCCATTCCCAACGACTTCAAGAATGTTTTTGGAACATTCCAGCAACCTGCCCAGAAAGTTGAAGTTCGTGGTGGGTGGAAATATGTGTTCTCCAAGATGCCAGTGGTTTCCCAGCCATGCCATTTTTTTCTTGTTCTTTTCAAAGATATTCTCACTTTTGCCTCTGAATTGGAATGTCCATCCACTTGAGGAGTATCAGGAGGGTTTATTCCTGGAGCTCTGATAAAATCACATCCCCTGTAGATTAAAAAAAAAAAAAAAAAAAAACACGTCTAGATCCTTTCATCTCATTGGAATCCCTCTTCAACCAAGCTTTCTCTAGTACCAGTTTCTGGAATTTTGTGTTTCTTTTTAATAACCATCTTTTTAATTGGAATCATACAGATGTTTTATTTTTTATCATTTTTATTTGGGGATCAGAGCAGAAAGCTTGACCTGTAAGTTTGACACAGCCTTTCTTTTGGACAGTGTTTATACAGAATGAGTAAGGTCAGGGTTGTTGGGTCCAACAGTGGGAACCAGTGAGGGGCCTGGTATCTGAATTCCTTCCCCATCCTGACAGGCTTTGCTCAGCCCCTTGGTGCAGCTGAGGTCATCAGAACTTTAAGGAACAGGTCACCAGTAACAAGGATGCTGACCTTCCTGATTAAACACTAACCTGTCAGTGAGCAGAAAAAGATGAGTACAGGTGAAGTACTACTGATTCCACAGGAGAGGTAGATGGGCAGGGATGCCGCACAAGTCTTACTTTGCCTTGAAAACCTTTGTGAAATAAAGTAACTTTGGGGCCATTAATTATACAGTTGCTAGAATGAGTGATTTATGTGGTGCTAATGAGACTATGAAGGAGCTCTGGTGGCACAGTGCTTAAGGCATTTGACTGCTAACCAGAGGGTTCACAGTTCAGACCCACCAGCTGCTCCACAGAAGGAAGATGGGACAGTCTACTGTCATAAAGATTTACTACCTTGAAAATCCAGTGGTGGTCCCTGGTGGTCCCTATGAGTGAGAATTGACTAGATGGCAGTGGGTTTGGTTTTGGTTTATCAAGACTATGAGGAGTTCTGGTAGCACTGTGGTTAAATCATTGGACTGCTAATAAAAAAAGTCGACAGGTCAAACCCACCAGCTGCTCTGTGGGAGAAAGATGAGGCAGTTTGCTTCCATAAACATTTACAGCCTCAGAAACCTGTGGGGCAATTCTACTCGCCCTAG